TGAATACATTTCAAGATGCATGTCAGTGAACTTGAAGTCTCAGGACATATATACACAGCTTGGTATTCTTCAGTGTATACACACAGTTTGGCTGCATAGAGTTGCTAAAGGATGGGCTACATTGTGCATATGCCCAAGATGCTAGACATAACAAGGTATGAAATGTTGGATGTAATTTAAATAATGCCGTTTCTGAGGCTACTATTAAAGGATGCCAAAGATTCTTTGTCCAGAATTATAGGGATGAGTGTAAGTTTCATATCTAGTCTTTTCCATTTATTAATTGAAATTTGCATAACCTGTAAGATGTCAACAGAGAATAGTTTTATTGATTTTGGGGTGAGAGGTTTTCTTCATTTAGTACTGAAGCAAGCTATCATAATTTATCGATTATCACTTTTATAAGGGTCTCCAAATAAATATTCCACTAAAATTTGTTAAATTTATGCCCTTAATTAAAGACTAACCTACAGCTGTTTTAATCAAGATTTCAATAGTCTAAATTTTGGCATTCATCCATTCATGGGATAGTAAACACAATACATATAAGCATGTTACTGATAGCAAGCTCATGTCACAACTGTGCCAAGCACTGACATTCATTATTTTGGTGTAAGTATGTTTATCATATGAAATTTTGAAACTAGTCTAAAGGTTTTAACATTAAAGAAAAATCCAAAGTAAAAGACTTATTTAAATAACTACAAGATGAAGTTATTTTTTAGTTTTGATGTAGCATCAAGTCAACAATCATGCTAAGAAGAGAAAATATTACAAATCTCAAATTAATTCAATTATTCATTTTGCAAAACTCTTAATATTTCCCTCAAATACATGTGATATATTTTTGAACAGGAATATGTTTTTTTTTTTTTTTATGATAACTACAAATGTAGTAGTACAAAAACATAAGAAAATCTCATTAAATCACATAAAATACTATTCCCCCCTCATGTTTTTTTGCCATCTCTATGGGAATAGGAAATTTTTTTTTTTTTTTTTTTTAAAGAATCATTACATTTATCCATAAAGAAGTTATTAAGGTCCTGTTTGACAGTCTTTAAACTCCAAGCCATTCAGGGAATTTTGAAGTGACTGAAGAGATAAAAATCTGAGGTGTAAGATGAATATGGGAAGGTGTGACACAGAACATCCCAGCTATACTGTATAAGCCTTTGTGCGACATTCAATGAAATGTGGGGCCAAGCACTGTCAGTTTGGAAGACAACACCTCACCAAGTATGGCACCTTTTTGTTTTTTATTTCTGCTTTCTAAATGCCATTTGAGAACAGTATTTTCAAAATTCTGATTTGGTGGTCATAATACACAATTCCTTTGCAGATTTTCAGTGTTATTACAGGAGGTTATTTTGGCTTACACCTTTCTCTTGTAATATTATTTATGTCATAATATCTAGTTATCATCTCCAGTAATGAGCTGTTTAAAAAAAGGAGCTTCTTAATTTCATTTCAGCAAAATTCACATGCTGAAATTCATGCAAGTACATTTTGCTTTCTTAAAATATGGGTTACCCATACATCATAGGGGCTTACATATCCAGTCTTCTTCAAATAATTATTTACTATGCTTTTTAGAACTGTCTATTAGTTCCTAAACTGTATAACATGGATTTTCAGAGATAGCTTCTTTCACCAGGTCCTTATTTACATATGATGGTTGTCCGGAGCAGGTCATATTTGCCAATTCTCCCAGTGTAGATTCTGAATCTTTCAGTTTTAAATTTTTAGCCTTTATTAAAAGATGTTTCCCAGCAATAAATGTAATTTATTGAATTAAAAGAAATTGTACAAATTCTACTTCCCCACCCCTAGCGATTTTCAGAATAATTTTTCTTAATAAACTTTATTTTAACCAAATTGTACCTTTATCTTACTACAATTTATTGAATTTTTTCTTCTTATATTTAATGTGATCTGAGTTGCCTCAGACTAGTGTAGACATTTGTAGATTTTTATCTGAAGATATAAGCAATGTTTGATCAGATAATACTTATATTTCACTACATGACACATTTACTACATTTATTCATATGAATACTGTTTACCAGCAGAGTCATAGCGTGACTTGTAAATCAGTCTCCCAAGGCAATTGGTGCAGCTTTTATGCAAATAAAATATACATATGAAATATGATAAGCTAAAACTACTCAATGTCCGTAAAAAAGTCATCACACGATGATGGCAAACTGTCACTGAATGAATGTTTAGAATCAGACTTTTTTTACCATTTGAAACCTATTTCACTACTTTTAAGATGATGTTAAGTATGGATTTGTGGCTTCTGGAAAACCTAGTTGCAGTTCTCAAATTTTCCTGAATTCGAGCATGCAACTCTTACTGATATGAAGTTTAGCCACCTCTGCTATATACATTAATTATTTTTATTTTCATCATGTTTAAAAGCACTTTGGTAAAGCTTTGCATCCCTACTTCGGATTTTCTCAGCATAAATATGTAAAAAAAAAAAAAAAAAAAAGACAATGAACATAAAATTTAGAATATATATTTTACATCAGATTGTATTACAAACAGTTAAATAACCTGAATCATGCATTATAAAGTGAATTTGTAACAGTTTGCAGTTCCTTTGAAATGGCATCACTGCACAGTATGGAAAATCTCTGAGTTTTCCTGCAAAAAACTTCAATTTTTTTCAGATTTCAAGATTGGCAGCATCATCTATGAGGCTGAAAACCTCTCAAAATGCCTTTTGAACTGTGTCATTATAAATAGCACTTTGCTCACATGTAGCATAAATTTTATGAGCAATTTGACTAGCATTTTTTTCCTTTTTTAATATAAAAAAGCATAATCTGAGAAAAATGAACATTTGGGTTTTCCATTCTTAGCATTGCACGGCAACAAAAATTATGCTGCAACCATGCTAGAATTGTACAACACGAGCAGAAAAGATTGTATTTGCATAATTGCGTCAATTCAAGTCACTCCTTATTAGCAGTAACAAATTTAGAGGAAGAAAATGCCCTTCAATTTGAAAAATTATGGAACTTCCTGGATGCCATAATTTTCTGTTAAAGCCATATTATTTTGTTCTTTTTCTTGTTTTTATATATCTTTTCAGTGCCGCATATTAAAGTTTTGCATGCTTTCTTTCTTGGCAGCAATTGTCTTTACAATCGTCATTTGCAAAAACAGGATTTTCATCTAATCATTTTTTAAAAAACTGCAGTGAACTTGATTATTTGGAAATTACTACAAAATGAGCACGTGATTATCGCCTTTTTTCAAGGAAGATATATTCCTCAGAAGAAAAGACTACGTTCGAATAACCATCTCATGAAATTAAAATGTGACTTGAAGCTAAATTAGCTACATAGCCTTCAATAATGCTGAAAGAAGTCACCAAACACAAATGTGTTTCTTTTGGATCATGCACTCTTTTGTAATAGTGGATGGTTAATTTACTTGTAGCGATAGAAGTTAACATCTACTGCATTTTGTGAATCGAAATTTGCTTCAAATGAATCACAACATGATGCCTGATGAAAAAAAAAAAAAATTACATAAGAGGTTATGCACCAATTATTTGTTATTTTGTCCAAGTGCAATTTGCCACCAAAAATGGACGATATGGCTTTAATAGAAAAGTAACAATTATTTATTGCCTTTTTTTTTAAACTAGTGGCAGGTCCTCAGCCGATTTCAGCTTGGCCACTACTACGGCCAGAAGTGGTGGTCGCTTTATTATGGAAGTACCTAAGAGGTGGGCCACCTTTGCCCCTATGAAGGGATGAACAGTTACAACCCATGCCTTCTCCAGCAATCGAACCCAGGCCCTTTGGTATCGCAGTCGGCTTCCCTAACCACTATATCATCTGGGTGGCATTTATTGCAAAATAACATGCAGAACTTATGGTTGATTTGTATAAATGACATGAGATTACCAGTTCCTTTTTATATTATCCTAAAACTGATGAGTGCTATAAAAATAGTGGAAATTGATGACAGCTTATTCATAAAAGGGTTTCACTGGCTTCCTTTCCAATGATAGGTTTTTGGAAAATTTTTTTTTCATAAACTTAGAAAAAGCTTCCTTATTTTTCCTTTATTTACAATTACCGTATATACCCGCGTATAAGTTGAGATATTTTGGACAAAAAAAAAGACTTCAAAGTGGGGGGTCGACTTATAAGCGGGGCCATAAAAAATTAAAAGAATCGGAAGTTCAAAAATTTCTTTATATATTGCAGTTGTTTTCTTCTTGCACTCAAATTGGACGACTTATCAAATAAGTAACTTACTTGAAGTAATTTCATGACTTAAATTATGTGACGAACTACAGTGGTGGCCAAAATTGTGGACACTTTTGGAAATTTTTATGTTTTTGCCCCTGAAAAATGCAAATGCCTGCGAAATACCCTCTGAAATGTTTATAAAATCATTTAAAAAATGTTGTATTAGCAACGAACTAGACGGCACGGAAGATGATGCTGTTTTTGAAAGTGAAAATGACGACGAAGGCTGTAGTAATGATTGTAACAATACAGAGTTCGAGACTGAAAATATGTATGATGACGAGCCAATGACGACAGAAGAGTTCTATGAAATGTTTGGCGAATCTGACCATGAATCAGACATTGAAGGATTTTGATTTTGCTTATTTACCAAGGTATTTTTTATCGTATATTTACTTTTTTCTCAGATGATTTTGAATAAATGTAGTACTTAAAAATTTTTTTCGAAGTTTCTCGATCGATTTCGGAAGTGGGGGGTCGACTTATACGCGGGTTTCTTATTTTCTAGAATTTTTTATGTCGAAGTGGGGGGGGGGGGGTCGACTTATAACGGCGAGTATATACGGTAGTATACATCTTTTAATAAAATGCTATTAAATGTGTTTTCTTAATGTTTTATTTCTCATAAAAATATTTTTAAAATGACTTTCCATGCTTTCAAAAATATTAATTTATATTCAGTGGTAAAACTAAAAGTTTTGAAACAAAGATTACTGAAATTACCTTTTCTTTCCTAACTATATCTTCAACTCTTTCTTTAATTCTTTGCTCTTCAAGCTTCCTTTCTTCTTCTAATTGTAATAATTCAAGTTGTTTTTCTTGAAATAGTCTCTCTGATGTTTCTTCTCTAAATATGTAAAATAAACCCATTAACTTAGTTTTACAAAGTTATTATACACATGAATTTGCTTTGAACTAACAGAATATCAGACAATTATAGATTTTTATCTTCAACAAAATTTAATTGATATCACACACACAGGAATATGGTAGGTGCAATGATGTGTGAGGGATGTCAGTAATATCTTCTGAAAGAAACCTATATAATTATATTCACAATCAAATTATGCAAGTCTCTCACTTGTGTAATTTTTTTGTATAAAAAAATAAAACAACTTAAAATATTCTGGCTACTTGAATTTTCCAGTTAGTCAAATGCCAGATATTTGGGCTATACTATATATACAGTAACTGCAACCTCCACAAATTCCTTTTATCGAACTGAACTGGTTTTATTAAAAATGAAATTCAACTTCTTCAGCAGTACATTGTTTTTAAGTTGCTCATAAAGATTTATATTAAAGAGGCAGGTACTTACATATTACTTCATCACACATGAAACTGTCATCACCAAGTAGCACAATTTAGCACCAATTATAGGTAAGTGTGGTGTAACAGCAATGTGCACTTGTGTGATGTAACACAACTGGTTCTTGAGAAGCCACACTTTGTGTTTATAAACAAGGGCATATATTAACTCGTATTTTATACTTTTTCTAGCATTTTAAAAACAACAACAACAACAACAAAAAAAAAAAAAAATAGCATTCGGACCATAGGCCAGATAGCAGTAGCTTATTTCAAAAGGTATGGGACCTTAACATTAAAAGAAAAAAAAAAAAAAAAAAAAAAAATTCAAACCCTGTGTATCAATGGGCACAATATGTGTCAACAACACAGTCATAGATTGAAACAATTATCTGCAGGAAGTTTGTACTTAAAGCATTCTAAACAAAGCTTTCAGTAAAGTTACAAAGCCTAATAAAATAAAAGAAATTGATAAAAGCCTTTTAATGAAACCCCCAAACAAACTGGATCGAAAACTGATCGTTTATTGAAAGACAGTTTTCTTCAGAATTCGCAGGAACAACTGCCATAGCTTTGTCAGTACCTCTGCTAATGTTCTTGGCTTGACAATGATCAGCTTTCACCATCAACGGGATAAAATGAAAGTATCCAAATTAATTTGTGAACTCTGAAATATCCATAATTTCTATACTAAGAATAGTCTTTAAGTTTTCTTTTGTTATAACATTAATCAAAAAAATATTTTATACATGTGTCATTTAAATCAGAAAGCTTGAGCTATGATTTAACAAGTCAAAATAGAAGCAATTTCATAGAAGTATTTGAATACACCAAAGTGTGTCTAAATTAGGGACAGACAGGGTTATGCAAATATTGGAGAGTTGTCTTATTTTTCTGTACATGAGAATGCTGACAGAAGATATATACACAACTGAAAATGCAGTCCTTTTTAAGCAATTGTTGGAAACATCATGATGAGTAAAATTCATTATTTGGACATTTTCGATTGGGAATAAATAATAGATGCTTGGCATATGGGCCATTAATTTTCAGAAATAGTTCCAAGCACTAATTTTTTTCCCCCCATTCTATGACAAAAGTTCAAGAATAATAAAAGAAAAAGCTATCTGGAACTTATACCAAGCACTCTTACTGCATTAGAGTGAAGGCAAGCCCTCACATTTCCCCTCTAAATTCCATTTTAACTGTGGCAAAGGATGTTAACTAAAAAGAACAAATAGTTTTGAAGTTCTCTTTCTTCCCTCTTTAGTGTCTTGCTTGCAAGCGTGAACGAAGGCTGCAAGACATGTTTGGTAACTTTTGTTCCATGCTAGTTTTCTTCAGCAAGTCCTCGTGCTTCTTCATGTACTGACATACATGAATACCTGTGAATGAGATTGATCAAGCAGCAAATCTTGTTAAAAAAGTAGCTGGACAGTTTTCATTCCCACCAAGTCCTACAGTACTTTGCAAGCATGATGTCTAAATTTAATTAGGGACTTTGGTGATGTTTCAAGATTTCACTTCCTTCGATGTCTTGTTCTTATATGACAAACTCATGAATGTCATTAAGTGACTGGTTATCTAGGTGTGATAAAATATGAATCTAAATTTTTACAACAACAATAATGTTAAGAATAAATATGTCTTTAACAGGTAAAGATATTAGACATTCCTTTTTGTACTATACATGGATAAGTCAATATTTATCCAATTTTACGTTATTAAGAAACACCAAAATCAAATCTTAATATTCTCTTAGGGTTATTGCGGTAGCAGTCCAGAAAAAAAAAAAAAAAAAAAAAAAAAAATTAAATATCTGTCTCTAAATAATTCACTAATTTTTGATACTGTGACTCTAAAATTACACTATAAATTTTACAACAATCAGCATGTCAGTCTCTGCACGATCATTTATATCCTTACATACTTTGCTGCCATCCAGACAGAAACGAAATGTTCCAATTGGATAACTGTTCCTATCACAGATTCTAGTTGTCTAGGACCCAATTCTAGAATCTATTTAATAAATTCTCTTCAATGAAATGGCCACCAAGAAACCTAGACTTGAAATTCCATTGAACAAGTTAGGATAGTCTGGAAAAAGGTGGGCAAGAACATCAACATTTGCAACATTAACCACTTTACTACAAATTCTACATATTTGGCAAGTCATACCTTTGCAGTGCTTCAATAGACTTATTGAATCTTTACATCAGGCAGCCATTATCAAGGCCGAAGAAACAGCAACTCATTACTATTCAGGTATTTCTAAATCAAAGACAATACAGTATAAATGCAACTTGTTGTATTTATACTGTATTGATTTACAAACTCAAGCTATTGATTTACAAAAACTCAAAACTTTGATTAACAAACTCAAGATATTTGAGTTATTATTAATTAGAGTTGTTTTAAGAAGTACAAAAGGATGTCAAAAATGCCTGTTTTCAGCATTTGTTTTTCAGTCTGAAATACTGGCACTTATATATTTTCCTGTAAACTGGAAAGATGACAGAAATCCTGCCAAAATCGCTTGTGATTACATTGGAAGTTTTAAGAAAATAGATTATTCTTTATATAGTTAGAAAGAACAGCTCAATCTTTATTAAAGTGACCACATTTTCATTGAGACAAAGCAGGACAAATGGAATGAAATGAGAATTGTAATTAAGTTATGAAAGCAAACCAATAATTCAAAAAATATATTTAATTGTATATATTCATATATTTGTCTATAAATATACAAAAATATATTTATTATTAACTATTGGTAACTATAAAAATATTTGTAAAAACTATAATTTGAATATTATGTTTTTTACTTAATTTAAAATTTTATTAAAAAAATTATGATTTTCTTTCACCGTCATATATTTTATCCGAGTGAATACTTTGCAAAAGATTCGGATCATTTATTAAAATGTCGTGAAATTTCTCTTATGAATTGGTCGGTTATAGTCGAAAACATCGACATGGACAAAAACATTGCAGAGAAAACAACGCAAGGTGAAAACATGGTACTACAAAACATCGTGGGAGAAAACATCGCAGTTCTAAAACATCATGGTACAAAACATTGTCGTTGAGAAAAAGCGGTTAAAAAACTTTGCAGTTTAAAAACATCGTGGTAAAAAATAAAGTATCTACAAATCATCCCATGACGATAACATCGCAGAAATGCTTTTTTCAGGCTTTAATAAATGTAAATGGATATTCCCATAATGATTTGTGAATGCAAGATGGAAAGAAGGATAATTTTTACTTTCATACTTTTTATTAACTAATAAATTTTTGCTGAGAAAATAAGAAGGAAACGTAAGCAAAGAAAATTAATGCAACTTATAGCACTTAATAGAATTTTAAACCGACATAGTTAACTAACAAAGGCCATTAATAAATCATTTTTTATAAAGTTTTTACTGGTAATTTTTCATGAAAAGTATAATATATAAGTTGCATTTAATTTTCTAGGCTTAAGTTTCCTTCTTACTTTTTCAGCAAAAACTTATTAAATAATAAAAAAATGTGAAAGTAAAAATTATCCTTCTTTACATCTTGCGCCCACAAATCATAAATGGGAATATACATTTACAATTATTAAAACCTGAAAAAAAGCATGTCTGTGATGTTATCATGCAATGATTTGTAGATACTTTATTTTTTACCATGATATTTTTAAACTGCAAAGTTTTTTAACTGCTTTATTTTCGACGACAATGTTTTAGAACTGTGATGTTTTCTCCCATGATGTTTTGTATCATGACATTTTGGCTTTCCGTTATTTTCTCTGTAACGTTTTCACCCGCAATGTTATCGGCAGAAACCCCTCGAATTGAACTGTCCGTTCTTCAAGATATTCCAAGCAGTTATTATAAAAATTTTTGCCTTTTTTCAGAAAATCAGGTCGTTTAATGGCACTTTGTTCTTCCAACCTAGTGATGTTCTTTCGAATAACTAAAGGAACATAATCATTATCAATTCTTTCTCGCAATTTTGTTTTTAAATTATTGATTTCATGACACTTCCGTAATTGAAATTTTGTACCCTTCAATAATTTTCACAGCATTGTGAAATAATGTAGCTTGGTTGTGGATGAACTGAAGCCAAATTTGTAATGTGTCATTTTCAAAAAAGAGCTGCAACATTCTTCGACATTTATCTTGTGCTAAAAGTGAGATTTTAATGGTTTGTATATTTTAAAAATATTTCCTACAGCTGGTAAAAGAGCTAGCCATCGTGTTTTTGCTGTAACCAATAATTCTTTTATATTCAATTTCTGCACTTTCACAAAAATCCTTCAAATTTTCAACATGCACAGTATATATATATATATATATAAATAGGAGTAAATTTGTGCAATAATATTTTCAAGATCCACTGGAAGTAAGTCAGATGCTGTTTGAATAGTACTGTGTAGAATATACGCTGCACAACCTACTCCAATAATTTTTTTGTTCAAATGTTCGTTAAGTTTCATAAAAACGTTATTGATGACCACCAAGTTTGTGTTAGTGTTATCCTCACAATAGGCAATAATTTTATTGTTCAAATTACTCTTTTATAAAATAGAACTTATTGAATCAATAATTATTATGAAGGCAATGAAAAAAAATCTAATATTCTAATTTTAATTCCTGTTTCTGGATCGAAAAGTCTAACAATTGTGAGAAATAATTTTAAATCTTTGTGCTTGGAACCGTCATAATATATGGATATAAATGTGCATTTATCTAATTCTTTCTGCAATTGCGAAAATGAATATAGTGAAAAAACATTACAAATAATTGCTTCGAATTTGTCCTTGCACATGCTAATTTTTTGTCGTACAATGTTTTGATCATTTGCGACGTACAATCAATTGATCTGAAACTTTGATTGTGGTTTATGGTGTGGAAAGTAATAAATCCAGCTAGTGTAATTTTATGGATCCAGATGGTGATTAATAAGAGATAAGGAACTGCATTTATTGCTTTTAAACACTTAGCTTGTTAATTAAGAACAAGCAGATTAAATATCTCATGCTTCACTAAATAGCAACAACATATGGAAGTTAAATTTATTTTATATCAGATATTTTTAAAATTCCAGATAAAGGGATTAAATGTTGACATAATTTTTTTTATAGTTGCTTCATTATACATGACGATAAAATTTGGTGGTGTATATGCTGTAGTAGACTGCCGTAGTCGTACAGATGGAAATAAGAATTATTGCATTATCCGTAGCGTGGGGTTCATTTCCTTCACACATGTTACTGTCGATCCACGCATAGATGGCACCTTTTTATTCTTTGTTTAACAATAAACTTTAATAAGTAAACAATTCTTGATTATTATATATTATAGGTACAATCGTGGATAGGTAATTCTGGCATTGTCTCTGCTGAATGAGAAAACAATCTCTGCATCACAAAAGAAATGGCAATGGTCTTCCAGCCAAAAAAAAAAATCTGACCATTCCCTCCGACAACCAGGGTCAAAAGTCCCCTTTGCCCCACTGGTCTTCTCATTCCTCCTCTCTACTTTTTTTCTTGTTAGTCCAAAGGGGCTTTGTACCTGAAGGACTATCGTTTTCATTTTGTGATTTTGTGTTGAATCACTACAAATGTCCGTTTCACTTTTCAAACTGTTGCCAATAAATGTTAGAGTCCTGCATTATATTTGAAGAAATTAAATAATGAAAAATCTGCATAAATGTATTGATATTTCTTGAATTGTGATAAAACAATGGTACATACAGCCATCGAATTTTGAATGATGTAATCCTACCGCCAATGTGGACATGTGGAAGCCCAAATTTGAAATTTGGAATTTGTTTTACTATCGATTGCATATTTTGTAAAACTTTAACGAATTTTTTATTAACAAACTCAAGGATTTCAAAGCGAGCAATCGCAACGTTGTACAGAAAAAACATTTTGATCTCCAGCACACGAGACTGTGTATCGGAAATTCTAAAAATATGCTCAACTTAAAACTACTTTGCGAAATTGCTCTTGAACTGAATTTTATGGTTTAAGTGCGAAGAACATGATATTTAATAAATAAGAGTAACACACAAAATGTTAAAAAAATGCTCCTTTGGACGTAATTTAAAATCTGAAACCTTTCAAATTTTTCTTTCTTTTTTCTTTTTTTATAAATTCCGTCCAACAAACCACCCAGCACTAACCAGGGGTGGCTCCGTCGGGCTAATTATTCCGCTGGCCAATCTTTTCTTTCTTTCTTGGGCTATGTGCATTACATATGCTACATTATTTCTTTAAAAATAATACATGGCAATAACAGTGGGTGGCAACATTTGAAAAGAGATGCAGACAAAAATGTGATTAAGGTTTAAGATTAGTAGGAACTCTAGAACTAAAAAGGGGGGCTTGTCAAATTCAGTTTTATTTGCAATAGAATGACATTTACTTGTTTATATAGACAAAAATCTAATAATCAGGTACAAATGTTGATGCAAAAGCTACAAAGAGTGTTGCAGGAATTTCAGTTTGACAGAGGCCATGGTAACTTTAAATGTGATCTATATAATCTAGGATTTAAATTCTCCCTCTATTCCTGTAACAAAAATCTGATGACTGTTCAAAACTGTATTTGTTTTCTTATATCTAGTTCTTGATGAGATTTGACTGTTGCAGGAACAGTAAAGAAATCATATTGCTAGTTATATATGATCTGGCTTCTTTCAAATTAATTTCTTATTGCCTATTACATTTTTCAGTGTTGCAATTCTGTAACATGTGTCCTTTAGCAAACAAATTAAGTAATTATAAATAAAAATTAGCTCATATAAGCATGAAATTATTACCAACTGCAATTTCATTGGAACTAAGTTTAAATGAAATTGCAATCGGCATTGATTCTTACATTTATTTACTATCAAATGGCACAACATTATTTTTCTTGAAGTATCATAGGTTATCTTTAATGACACATGAATTCACTGTAGCTTGTATCAACTGGCGTTTAGAATTTGTAAACTTTGCTACTCTTGTTTAATCTTGTTTAAATTACATGTAATAGATGTGCATGAGTAAATACTTCTCAGAACAAAACAATTCAGTTCAAATTTTTGTATTTTACCCTATATATCATATTTAAGAATGAGAAGGTCCTTTTTTTAAAATAATTTTTTTTGATAAATTTGCATGTGAATCGCTGAAAAGATACAAGATGACGTTAGCTTTCGGATTCTACGTCAGAATTTGACTGCTAGGCAGATCACAAGTGTTATTTACTTAATTTGTAAAAGTTAAATTTTTTTTGTAATTTTTTGTAATGTAATTTTCAGAAAGATTAAATCTGAAAGAGAAATTAAATATTTTATGCTTTGCACAGTGCATGGAAGAGAAAAATATTTTATTTTGGGCAGAGGCAACACATATTTTTAAATTGTTAAATTTGTTGTTTAAATATGAAAGACAACTTACACTATGGCCAGTGGCAACATTTGGCTTTTCTTTCCTTACTTTACACTGTCATATTTGCTTTTCATATAGACGATACAGAGTGCATAAGAATGAAATATTTAATATCTTTTCATATATAATGCATGTGACATTAATTACATTATAAAAGAGCAGGTCTGAAGTTTAGGGTAATTATTTTTTAATTACCTTATAGCCCTGATTCTTTCATTTTCTTTTTTATTTTCTTCAAGTAAAAGACGAAATTCTGCTTCATCCTTTTGTTGCTGTTCTAATGTATTTCCTTCATCTTCATCTTTCTGTTTTACCTCTGCTTGAAATAATTGCCTAAATTAAATAAGATAAATATACAATTTCACCATGCAATAGAATCTTCATTATGCCAATATTGACAGTAACAACAAAGCAATTACTTGATATTAATTTTAACTGCATTTTAGACAAATATGACATCAAATATAAGAAAGAAATAAAAGCTAGCATTTGTCCATAGTGTAAAGGGAAGCTTTACATTCATTGCAAATGAATATGTAACAATTCCGGGGATCTGTACGTTTTCAATTATTTAATGTGTGAAATATTAAAATTCATCAATAATCATATAGCATCACTTTTTGCACAGTGAGCCTTTTTTACAGGATTGTAAAATTTCATTTTAGTAGGATTGAAATTGAGGAAATGTATTCATGGAAGAACTTTTGGGTATCAATGATTAAGACTTTAAAACATTAAATACAAAACTTTGATTCCTCAAAATATTAAAAAAAAAGTTTGGGGGGAATATACTTTGTCTTTCTATAATCTAATAACTATGCAGTATCTTTGTTAATTATAGATCTTTAATGTAATATGTATTGCACCAAGCATAATATGGAATTTTATCACAGAAATGTAATTTTTTTAACTAAACATTTTTTGACACTTAATCCTCAAAAGTTGGAAGATTTTTTAAATTAGCATGTTGTCCATTTTCAGATTGTGTTAAAATTCTGTAACCACTCACATGGAGAAATATGTGAAGTACTTAATGCTTATTCTCCTTTTCTGCATGAGAAAAGATCACTATGGAGGTCACATAGTTTCAGTTCTACAGTGTGTTGCTCTTAATAAAAAAAATCCTGAAATAGGCTTCTAAAGCATGTTAAAATTAAATTCAGCATCATAATTTTCCTATATCAGGTTTTTGAACTCTTTTACACTAAAGGGCCTAAGATGGTCTTTCATTCAAATAACAAATGGCCACCTGGACAGGCGAGATCGCATGCTCAGTGAGCCACCCTTCCTAAAATACCCAGTAACCTGAGATGCAGTTTACCCAAATGTATTGCATCAATTCATCTTTACCGTATATAATATTGTCCTAAAATGATTCATTTGTGGTTCTTTATCTTTGGGCTGAAGATGACTTTGTATACACTCAGTAGCTAATGGCAGCTCCTTTAGCAGGAGTTAGAAACAATATCATTTCAAACTTTCACAAATCTTTGTTCATTAATGACTGAGCAGGGTGGGATTGTAGTGAAACTCAAATTAAATTTCAGGAGTTTCAATTACTTAAGCAAACATGTTAGTGAAAGATTTGGCCTCATAAGGGTTAAAGAAGGAAAGTGGCCCAAGTTTTATTATACTAAATGGGGATTTAGTGTATTTCTAGGCAGCAAAATGAATCTGCAAATTTATTATTTTGCAAAACACATTTAATTTTCATACAATAACCTCTCAGGTTACTTACCAGTAACTCAGTTTTAATGGAGACCAAAATGCCAACAGGGTTCATACACATTTCTGCACACATAAATTAAGTACTTTTAAGGGGTGTTGGAACTCCAAAATCTCAAAATCTTCAAAAAATTGTAATTTCCAATTTTTGCATTTTCAAATTCTCTACACATTTATCTTTCTAAAAATAATTTAATCTTTCTTTAATCCCTATGAAAATTAGAACTGTAAAAAATCTAGTTTTAATTTGTCATCGACTGCTTTGATCAATGAGGATTTTGACATAAAAACACGTTTTTCTCCAAATGTAATTTTTTTATGCTCAATGTACCTTTTCTCAGGAACTACTGCTCACAGGTATATAAAATTTTTATGGCTTATTTATTAGGTTTCCTAATATTTACTGAAATGAGCTTTTTGTGATAAACTTAGAAAAAAATATTAAAAAGTTTTTTCTGTGTGAGAAAAGTGCTAAATTTTACTATGCCTAATAAATATTCTGTAAATTACTCTAAAATTCAAAATGTTTCAAAAGCTCATTTTAGTATAATCAGATATGTATAATTTAAATAAACACACACACACAAAAAAAAAAAAAAAAAAAATTCAAGCGTGTATCTACAGCAGATTTTGAGAAAAGGTACATAAAAAATGGCCATTTTAACATTGTCGGCATAGGGGTTACTGATACCCCTTTTAACCCTCTCAGCGTTATGGCCGGAAAATTCCATACCTTCCACATTCATTATACATGAAAATTTCTGCTAGCTTTTAATGTATCTGATTTCAGTTTGGATGTATATTGGCAGAAAAGGAATCAAGGTACAAAATGAAAGAGTCATTTTTTAACTAAAATCAAGAAAATATCACTTATTCATGACATTTTGAGGAACTTTGAAATTTCAGGTCTAAACCCGTAACGCTCCGAGGGTTAAGGACTTTTAAATACCATTGATGAAAAAATTAAGGACCTATGAGCAAATGGAAACAGAATAAATTCAATTAAAAATATTATCTATTCTTGAACTTCACTTTTGCAATACCATCCTAAAAATAAAATAGATCCGATGAATTATTAATAAATATTAATTAATTAATTATTAATAAGTCTGAGAATAAAATCAAATTTATAAAATGTATCAAGTAGCATTAAATATTTTACACATGTAAAATTATTACACATGTAATAGTTGGACATATTTGAAAGAAGATAAGTGACATTTCATTTATGTTTTACTAACAGTTAGCTTTAGTTTGATTTTTTTTTTTCTTCGCCTTTTTCCTCTTTTTTTAAATATTTTGTTTAATCACATACTTGCTCAGGTTAGAGGTTTAGTAAATATCAGGTAGATTTTATGTCAAGTGGCGTAGATTAAAATGAGAATGAGAAGCAAGATCATAATCAGCATGACTCATAAAAGACTGCTGCTTGTCTAGAAAAGGACCTGCTGATCAGAATAAACCTGAAAAGCCTGATGTAGGCCTGGTCAGCAAGTTTTGAAAGTTAATTAGGCTCTGTTTGATGCAGTTGTGTCATAGCTTCATGTAGAGTTTCAGGGATTGTAACCCAGTTGATATACTTTAAGGTTCTAATAAGCCACTAAAGCACCACAGGTGATAAGTTGTTTTGTATTATTTTAAGTGTCAGTAGATGCAAATAACAAGCTTTACATGAATTTTTACATCTTTGTGTTTTATCTTGTGACCACGGTAAGGATTAATGAAAGGCAATAGTAGCTCGCTTTACTATGCAGAGATAATTTTTAAGGGTAAGCAGTTAGTTATAAATAATTAAATTAGGTAGTTAAGATAACCTTAGTCATTATAGATTTACATGGCCACTATTAAATTTTACTTATTTGTTAAAAAAGCCCTATTAAAATCACAATCTAATAAAATTTGAGTTTAAAATGCATGCAATTTATGACATTGATTCTTAAACAACATTAGGATAATTACACACTAAAAGCTACAAAACATTTATGTTTTGTAACAACAACATTCAACGAAATATTTATGTGTCATTTCTAAGCATCTTTAAGCAAGCCTTCCCAGATATTTTTGGCTAATTTATATCAATTTCCTTCTCTTTAAGCATCTTTTCTAACAATTCAGAAATTTGTCTCAATCCGCAAAACCAGTGTTCTCACTTAGTTTCTGCGTGCTTTATCTCCTAACTTGTCAAACTCTCCATATCTTAGCTATGAGGGTTTACCTTGATCCTGGTAAAAGTTAAATAGTCCAAAACCTCCCGACATACATGAAGCAAATTATCGCTATGTCTGAATGTAACTACAGTGTCAGACAAAGGTTTAAATAAGCATCTTATTTAAAAATAACTTAGAATATAAAGATATGTTCTGATGCTAACAAAATCAATTACAGTTTGTGGTGATATAATTAAAGAAGAACACTCAAATTCAAACTAAAAATGTAGATTAGTGGTCAAAGACTATACAATTTTATTTTAATTTAAGCTGGCTCAGTAACTCTATTATATGAGAAAATAGAAATGGAAAATTATAGTAAAGGCTGAAATTATAAATAACTGGGTAATTTACATAATAATAACTGTACGTATCTTTGAAGAATAATTTTCTTTATGTATTCAGTTTCTTTCCTCAATACATTTCCTTTTCATTTTAGAATTTTTGGATTTAATTGAGGATTTCTGTTATTCATAAAAAATAAATGCATTTAGAATGCATAGAAAAAGTTGCTAATTTTATTTCTTTAGTAATATGAACATTCAGAAGAAATATGAAATATATATGGTAAGATCTGGTTATAGAGCTGGTGTGGCAGAATTTTTAGAATTTAGTGACACCGAGCAACAAAATCTACAAATGTCATAACTTTTAGAATTTAGGGCAGGCAATGGAAGCAGAATTAAGAAAGGTACTAGGCAGCAGAATTTAGCAACCACAGAGATTGTATCAGGTGGTAAAATGCCTAGTGCCAGTTCTGTATATGATGCATTAAAGCATATTAGATACATCTTTTAAATTGTCAGTTTTCAATTTCTTCATTAATAAAAAAATTCCTTTGTATAATGCCTGTCCATGTGATAAGATTAGAAGCATTTCTGATATTTTCCATGTGTGTGTCTAGTGAAAAGTAGAGATAATATAGGGATGATAAAACATGTTAAGAAAAAGATCCTAGTATCAGAAGTAAAACATTCAAATAATATGTTTTCATTATTCTTCCAAACGTTCTCCAAAAAGTAAGAAATTCATCGCAAACTTTCTGTAAAATACATCCATTACATGTTAATACCATGGAGGCATTTTTCATTTTGTAACATATTTCTTAAATCTTCTAGAATCATGGGACAATAAATCTTGCCTTCAAATCCTTCTAAACTTTCCATGCTGCTATGTCTAAAATCCTAAACAAAAATTATACCTACCGATTCTGTAATAGCAAAAAGCCAGAAATATTTGGAAAAAAAAGGGGGGGTGTAAAATTAATTTTATAGAGAAAACTGAAGCATATTCTGAGACAATTACATGAGAAAATTCTTATCATGAAAAAATTAAAAAAGAAGATATTTTTAATTAATTACATAGTTATTTTGTTTTTGCTTAGAACTGTTTTGTAAATTG